GCAATGTGTCTTTAACCAAACTGTCCTTAGGCTAAATGTCTTTAGGCAGATTGACCGGTCACATATTTGTTGAATATAAAACTAATTACAAGCAAAATTTCAGCAGACTTTCATGTATCAATCGCAACTTACAGGTTATTCTGTAGGTAGCGATTAGATGGACGATAATAAGAACGAGTGAAAGATAAACCTGATTTCCTCGGTGCATTGCACTGATGCTTCGAATAACCAACAATGTATAGTTCTGGTAACTGAACGATCTTATTGCGTTGAATTGCATCGTGCAGTCTCGAGAACCAGCGTAGCTGTACTACATCATTTGTAAATCCGACTGAAATTTCAGGATAGCAGTCTTTATGCGGTCAACATCGACCGATCTTCATACCAGATTAACGATACATCCCACGATTTTATCCACATTCGAAAGCGCATTAGGAAACAGTGACACGTTTTTAGTATATCACATTTTAATGGCTGAGCATACATTTATTTTTTGATGCATCGGATAGATCAGATCTTACAGATCCTTATCCAAAGGGAGATAACAATATTGAGCATGATGTATCAACTAACATAAACTTATCCTCAGTGAACACATTTGATTGTCATGAGGATATTTGCAAAGAACAAGTTGACAACTTGGCTTCAGATACAACCTGAAAATGTTTTCCATTTGGTTTCCATGTCTCCAGTTGGACTTTATGTTTCAGAACTAATCTGCTGAATTTTATCCATTGCAGATGATTACATATTGTAAATGTAAATGAATTGTGTCATACCGAATTGTTAGAAAAATGAATTGTTAGAATGAATAAAGTGAATAAAATGAATGAAATGAATAAAATGAAGTAATGAATTGTTAGAAATCAAGAAATGTAAATGAAAATCACATAGTGACATACCGCGTTTCGAAGAATATTTCACCTTGCGGAAAGATGAGCATGTAGAAATTGAGATATGTGACACGATGGAATGATGCTTTTTTAGCATTCGCGAAGAACGGATCAGGACGCCAGAGTTTTCTGAATGAGATAACTTAATGTCAGTTGGAGTGTTTCACAATTTCGTATCATAATTGATTGCTTTCAGGAATTTTCATTGCTGAATGCGCATGACCTCAAGAATCTTTTGATTGAAAGTGTCAAAAGTAATGAGAAAATTACCTTTGGTGTTACAATTATATTCAGAATCTTTTAATTTCACTTTATCAGAGGACAATTCACTCGGTGAGAAAATTTCACTTGACCTAATAGAGGTCAATAACATCGGTCAAACATTCAAGAACATTGAGTTCCGTCAGATCTGTCCAATAGTGAAAACGAATGGTAACCAACTTCAAAAAAGTTTCTTCATTGATCATAATCGGTCGGTCAAAACCGTGCGCTAATCGTGGATCTCGCCATGCCATTCTCAGCCAAACGTCCATATCGTAATCCTGAAAGTTGCCTTGAATCTAGCAAATATTCCCAGCATTGTGCGCAAATTCAGTGCGAGTTTTATCGACCGACGTGTTGCTTGGCAATACAGCACGTAATCGTCTCACCATTGTTGTTAACTCGAAATTCGATATTGATTGCACATCGATTCCAACTCTAACGTCAACAATTTGTCCCGTGAAAAGTGTTGGTGGTGTCCTGAGAAATCGTGAGAATTAACCGGATCATGAATCTTGAAGTTGTATAGCGAAAGAAACCGAGAACTCCGGTCAAACATCCGAAAATATATCAATTATCAAACTTTTTTGTACAATATCAACTACCAACTCTTAGTTTACGAATGTCTTTGCACAATAATCATATAATCGGCAACATTTTATCAGAATGAAGCGATAAATCAGTTTAGTAATTCATGCATAAACTGTACTATAATACAAATGAATTATTATATCAGAGAAAATTGAATGGATAAAAAGTTCGGTTGAATTTTACAAATACTATCTGAATTCGGAACCTTCGATCATATTGGCCCTGTTTGAGGATTGGTAGAATATAGGATGAAGCTAGTGGTTGGTATTGCGAGAAATTAATCTCATCGAATGCGTGTAAGATATCGTCAAGTTTTGTATCGTTTCGCAATGTTTCGGCCAGTTTCTGAATATCGACTTGACTCGCGTTGAAGTGAATGCCGATATTGGAAGTTAACGTTTCATCGTCTGAAATTAAAATGAATAGTAAAATGATTAATGAAGATTTGGAATCTCTGGCCGACAAATACAAATGTGGTTAATTGTGGTTGGGATCATTTGCACGTAAGGATTTCGTGTACTTGATGGAGATAAAAAAGATGAATTCCTTGATAAGATCTAACAATAAGCACACTATTCAAAGTTGAAAACCTAATGTGATCACAGCAACACGATAGTTGATCAGAACACATCATATGCGGTTGGTTTAACCATATTTAAGCAACTTATCCATTTCAGCTAATTAACAGATATCCCTTCATATCTATCGTTCAATTCAAGTATATCTTCGCAAATCCTTTCAGAATCTTTCCTTATCAGTCTCACTCCATCTTTCATTACCTTATTCCAGTCTTATCTCTGAAGGTAAAACTTCCTACCCAAAAAGTTATTATTTGTAACATAAAGATCCGTCCCGTAGCCTAGTCACGTCCTGATCGCAAGTTTTTTAAGAAGGCCAAACTAACCTTCAACCAAAAATGGTGACAGTTGATAATTAGTAATAAGTTCAGGTGTATCTCCATTACAGATCGCTCGCAATGATAACGAAACAGCCTCATGCTGAGCGAACACTTTATCAGATACGTTCAGCTTCAGATGCTCAGCTAACTGTTTCGTGCGTATTGTCACGACAGGATTGTTTTCGTGTTCATCCAGTGCAATCTACAAGTGGACTTGGTTACGTTCTGTTTTAATGATCTATTGATAAATCTGCAATTACTAGTTATTAAGTAATCCTTTCTTGTCGATATCAATCAACGAATAATAACAGATAATTGGATAATAGATATAAGCCAGATCATAGCCTGGCTCAGTCTCACAACATTAATGATATTGGTACACCACTCGGTTTCCAGCAAAACGTTCCTCCGCGAACGGGAATCGAACCCGCCACATACCAATTACCGATGGCTCGAAACCGATTGCGATCTTAATACAACCACTCGGCAATCGGTATTTGGTACGTCGCCGTTTCTATTCCCGTTCGCGGAGGAAAGTTTCACTCGAAACCGAGTGGTGTACCAATATGATTGATATCAATTTAATTAAAATATTTAAGTCATTATCTGTCAGTATTAATGCATTCCTTTCGTCGTTTATTGATATCATAACACCTCAAGTGATATCGATTCATATTACTTTGTACTTTTTGTTTCATTCACGGTGCTTCCTTCATTTGCATTATTGCATCTTTTACGATATGAAAGCATTCGAAACATTTTCCGATTGAGTTGATATAATAGATGAGATAGAAACCATATAACCAGTTTCCGTTTGACGATTTGTAGTTTTGACACCACGCTCGATCAACTTGACAGTTTCAGTCTTTTGTATGCCATCCTGTTTGTTG